ATCCTGGAAAACCAGAGTAGTGACTAATTATTGACTTCTTTACCAATGTGTGGCCTGATTACTGGAACAAAAATTTAGGCTCACAGTGTGTGAACTAGAGTTTCATGTGTGAACTAGAGTTTCATCAGAAATACTACCAAAATATTTTTCCTTTTCTTTTCTTTTTTTTTTTTTTTTGAGGCAGAGTTTCGCTCTTGTTGCCCAGGCTGGAGTGCAGTGGTGCGATCTTGGCTCACCACAACCTCCACATCCCAGTTTCAAGCAATTTTCCTGCCTCAACCTCCTTAGTAGCTGGGATTACAGGCATGTGCCACCACGCCTGCCTAATTTTGTGTTTTTAGTAGAGATGGTGTTTCACCGTGTTGGTCAGGCTGGTCTCGAACTCCCGACCTCAGGTGATCCACCCGCCTCAGCCTCCCAAAGTATTGGGATTACAAGTGTGAGCCATCACACCCGGGCAATATTTTTCCTTTTTCTAAAACTCCAGTCAACTCAAGTCAGTGCTGGTTTGTCACTGTTATAATTATATAAAAAAGACTTTGATAAATTTATCATTTTATCTATCAGTCCATTATACACAGTTTATATTGTACCTAACTAAATGATTTTGTGCAAATGAAATTGTAATATTCTTTAATGTTACATGTAACATACAGACTTGTCAGTGATTATTTTACCACATGTTGAAAACTTTGGCTAAAAATAATTTTGTATTATATGGAAAAGTAGACTTTTTCAATTTCTAAAATTTATCTTAATACTTTCATAGGATTTTTTGGAAGTAACTTACCAGATTATCAGAGGTCAGAAATCATGATGTTCATTATGGGGAAAGTACCTGTTTTTGGAACATCTACCCATACTTTGGATATCAGTCAACTAGGGTATGTTCTCAGACTGTAAATTTGAACTTAATCTTGAATTACGTTTTATCCTAATGAAATCTAGAAAATGTTTAAGTTTTGTTTTTTTAAAAATCATTAGTAATAAAATTCCTATGGAAAACAGTTAGTAGTATTATGACAGTAGATTGCTAAGCAATTGAATTAACATTTTTAGACCTTTAGAATCATTTTCAGCTTATAAATTCTCAGATTTTTCCATCTTTAGAAATTGTTTGGCCTGGACATTGTGTGTGTGTGCATACACATTCAGGGTTAAGCTTCAAGTTTCCTGTATAAATTTTAAAAATTAATGTCAGTATATCAGAAATAGTGGCTTATTCCTAGAATTTTAGAACTGAAACTGATTTTAAAGATTATGTGCTCTGACCCCCTTATTTTATACATTTTATTTGGTTTTATAACATGCTAAAGTTTTTGTTTGTGAATGTTTTTGTTTTTTTAATTTAATAAGGAAGTAATAGTATCTTATTCGACTTACATTTCTTTGACCATTAATTTGTTATTTTTTAAAATTGTTCTTACCTGTTTATTCATATTTGTTAAAGAGAGATTATACTCATCAGCTATGTTTGTAGTAATTATTTTCTCCAATGTAAAATGTCTTTTAATTTGGGTTGTTTAATTGTCTGTTTAAATGATTAAATTTTCTTATCATCACATGCATAGGACTGTTTTGAGAGCCAATAACAGATTTTTTAGTTTGATATTTTTCAAGATAATAGTTTTAATTCACATCAATTTTACTTTGGCATGTAAAGTGAGCCGTGACTTAAAACTGTTATAAAAATAAAATCTATTTAGCCAATAAGAATAGAATTTTAAAATCAGTAATTAGAGTAAATGAAGTAATATAAATGCTAATTAGTATAGTAATTCCAGCTTTTTGTATATTTTAGGGATTTAGGAACCAGGAGAATTCAGATAATGTTGCTGAGATCTTTGCTTATGGTAAGGCATTTAAGATAAATAAAGGACACACTTAACCTTAAATTACTGTAAGCATTAATTGAATAGCTTCATGTTACAACCTTTCTTTTCTTAAGTAAGTTACTGTTTATGGTTAGTATTTTATTATGTTCTTCATTTTAAAGATTATCCTATAAAAAATATATTTATTTCTCACTTCTTCTGTCATTGTGTTTGATCTTCATAATGATGAAACATACAGAGGACAGAAACTATTGCCGTCTGATAGATGAGATACCTGGGCTCAGAGACTGTGAGTAGAAGGAGTTGATGAGGTCCACCAAAGTTGCTGGGCTGAAAAACAGAACTCAGATTTGAAATCCAAAGTTCTTTCAACATATTATGCTAATTCTTTCTCATACTGACCAAATAATTGCTTCCAATTGGGAAAATAATTCACTAAAATGAATATTTGCCATTTAAAATTTGAAGTGGCTATCAATAGCTGAAAAGGAAAAGTATACCCAGAATGAAAGGTCTTCTGATTATTTTCTAGCAGTTGTACTCACATTTGATTCAACCATCGCTAGCACATATGTATCCTTTCGAAATCAGTATCTTTTAGATTTATCCTAGAAATGTTTACTATACATGATCTCATTTTTTAAACGGACTGTCTCATACCTAAGTGCAGAAATACCTCGTATGGTTTTATTTTTAATTCTTTTTAATTCTGTTTATGGCCCTTATCATATAGAAGTTTTGAGTTCTAATATAGCCAGATTTATCAGTTTGTTCTATATGTTTTGTACTTTTTCATTTGTATCTTATATAAGAACTCCATTCCTCCTCTGATGATATAAACGCTTTTGTTTGTATTTTCTTATAGCAGTTTTAAAATTTTAGCTCTCTATATTTAGAACTTTAATCTGAAGTTTATGTTTATATGTGGTATGATTTTCCCGGATGGGTAGACAGGTGTCCCACCGGTTTCCCAGCTGACTTATAAAACTACCTCCATCCTATAATAAATGCCCGAATGTAAATGTTAAATATTCCATATATGTTTATAATCCTGTAAATATGTTGAGATCTCCCACCTGCAATTTAATTTGATCCTAAGCCTTTATTTATATTAGACAAATTTGCTCAGTAAATTATTTTGCCTTGCCATCCTGATTATACCATATAGTCGACTGAATGAATATCTATGTGGTATGCTTAAAATGTTTAATAGCAGCTGGGCACAGTGGCTCATGCCTGTAATCCCAGCACTTTGGGAGGCCGAGGCGGGTGGATCGCAAGGTCAGGAGATCGAGACCATCCTGGCTAACACGGTGAAACCCCGTCTCTACTAAAAATAAAAAAATTAGTCTGGCGTGGTGGCAGGCACCTGTAGTCCCAGCTACTGGGGAGGCTGAGACGGGAGAATGGCGTGAACCCGGAAGGCAGAGCTTGCAGTGAGCAGAGACCACATGCCACTGCACTCTAGCCTGGGTGACAGAGCGAGACTCTGTCTCAAAAAATAAAAAGTCAATCAAGTAACTAAGTACAACTTCCCAAAATGAAAATGTATTCCCATTAACCGACTGCCTAATTTAAAATGAGAGAATAATTTGCAAACTTAAATTTAAAATTTGCAGGTCTTACTTTTACTGTTTGTCACCTAAGCTCCTTATATCTCTTTCGTACTAACCTTAACTTCTCTGAGCCTCAGTTTCTCCTTATGAATGAGATTCGCTAGAGTCTACCTTACAGGGATATGGTGAGGACAGTTAATACATATGCAGTGCTTAGAATCATGCCTAACACGTGGTAAATGTATGCTGTTATTAACTTTATTCTCATTATGAATGATGTTTTTGTGAATTCAGCAAAATCCTACATTACATTTTTTTGTTGTTGTTGTTGAGACGGAGTCTCACTCTGTCGCCCGGCTGGAGTACATTGGCGCGATCTCGGCTCACTGCAAGCTCCGCCTCCCGGGTTCACGCCGTTCTCCTGCCTCAGCCTCCCAAGTAGCTGGGACTACAGGCGCCCGCCACCATGCCTGGCTAATTTTTTTTTTTGTATTTTTAGTAGAGACAGAGTTTCACCGTGTTAGCCAGGATGGTCTCGATCTCCTGATCTCGTGATCCAGCCTCCTCGGCCTCCCAAAGTGCTGGGATTACAAGCGTGAGCTACCGTGCCCAGCCAGAATCCTTCATTACTTTGCACATTTCCTTTATGTCTTCTCTGCAGGCTTCTGTCCATGTTTTCTTTCCTAAGTTTATGGTTCTTATAAAACAATATGAGAATTTTACAAAAAAAAGGACTCGTGACAAAATTGTTTTTCTTCTTCCTGATAATCAGGTGACCTCTGGATATAAAGCAAAGACGATTGTTACTGCATTGCCAGGGTCTTTCCTGGATCCTTTGTTATCACCATCTCTCATGGAAGACTATGAACTGAGACAGTTGGTCTTGGAAGTAATGCATAATCTCATGGATCGCCATGACAATAGGGCAAAGCTTCGAGGGATCAGGTAATATGCCATTTTGAAATGGATCAAATGATAATGTTTTTAAATTGCTAAATTAGTGTGTTTAAGTATTGTGATTTTTAAAAATCTAGCATGTTCAGGTTTTATTAATCCAGAATTTTATTTAATTGGTATTGAGATAATTTAATCAATATATTTTAAGATAGCAATTTTTTGGAGAGCACATATGTTCTCTTCAGAAGCAATTCAGTAGTATTACATACAGGCTTATCAAACTCTTAAGTGTAAATACAATTTTCCATATAAGATGTGATATTGTAAATAAGTGTGCTATTCATTAAAAATGATATATTAATTGTCTCTAGAATAATACCGGATGTAGCTGACCTAAAGATAAAAAGAGAAAAAATTTGTAGACAAGACACAAGTTTCATGAAAAAGGTAAGACATCTTCTAAAAAAAAAAATGCATAGTGTAAATTACAGCCATTTGAATTGTTAGGTGGTTTTGTATTGATCTGTGACCTTGAAATGAAGCCATAGAATTTTGAAATTGAAAGACCTCAAGATGCCATCTTCAACCTCCCTCAAGTATAACATTCCTGGTGGTGTCTCCTCCAGCCTGTATTTGAACATTGTATTGTTGGGCTGCTGTAGTAGTTCTTAATTTCTTCTCTGAGTAAAACGTCTTCCTATAATTCTTGCCCTGGCAATCCTCTCCCACTGAAAAACATAGATACTGATTCCTCTTTTAGCAGCTCTTTTGTAGACAGTTTCAAGTTTCTGAAAATACCTGTTACCATCGAATAAATTAACTGTGGTGAGTTTTTATTGTCTATTAGGCATTGTTTTCTACACTATTTGGGATATAAAGATGAGTTGGGCAGGATCTCTGCCCCTAATAGTGGTTTTTGCTGGATTTTCATGATGATAATTTAAATTCTGTAGGTCTACTGGCAAATGGCTGAATTTAGAAAATTATGGTATTTATGGTTATTTGCATATTGAGTAAACTTTCTTTGCAGTTATTATTCGTCCAAAGCTTGGGCACCTAATATTTGCCAGACACTTAGTCAACATTGAGAGATATGATAACCATGACACTGCTAGCTGCCCTTATACCGAACACAGTATTGCCAGCTAAGGGAGCCTGTTTTTAGAGGTACGAGGAACAGGAGACAGCCCCATAGGAAGCTAGGTGCAGAGACCTGTAATCCATGTTCTTTTTTGCCTCTTTACTAGCCCATGCTTTCTCCCTGACACCGTCTTTCGTGTTACTATCTGTACCTATACTATTGATTGCTGTGTTTCAAGTTAACTCCTTTTTTAAAATTTCATTTAAAAAATAATTTACAAAATATCACCGTTCCTACATTAATGTGATTCACTGAATAAAATATTTAAGTGAGGTTGGCCGGGCATGGTGGCTCACACCTGTAATCCCAGCACTTTGGGAGGCCGAGGTGGGTGGATCGCAAGGTCAGGAGATCGAGACCATCCTGGCTAACACGGTGAAACCCCGTCTCTACTAAAAATAAAAAAATTAGTCTGGCGTGGTGGCAGGCACCTGTAGTCCCAGCTACTGGGGAGGCTGAGACGGGAGAATGGCGTGAACCCGGAAGGCAGAGCTTGCAGTGAGCAGAGACCACATGCCACTGCACTCTAGCCTGGGTGACAGAGCGAGACTCTGTCTCAAAAAATAAAAAGTCAATCAAGTAACTAAGTACAACTTCCCAAAATGAAAATGTATTCCCATTAACCGACTGCCTAATTTAAAATGAGAGAATAATTTGCAAACTTAAATTTAAAATTTGCAGGTCTTACTTTTACTGTTTGTCACCTAAGCTCCTTATATCTCTTTCGTACTAACCTTAACTTCTCTGAGCCTCAGTTTCTCCTTATGAATGAGATTCGCTAGAGTCTACCTTACAGGGATATGGTGAGGACAGTTAATACATATGCAGTGCTTAGAATCATGCCTAACACGTGGTAAATGTATGCTGTTATTAACTTTATTCTCATTATGAATGATGTTTTTGTGAATTCAGCAAAATCCTACATTACATTTTTTTGTTGTTGTTGTTGAGACGGAGTCTCACTCTGTCGCCCGGCTGGAGTACATTGGCGCGATCTCGGCTCACTGCAAGCTCCGCCTCCCGGGTTCACGCCGTTCTCCTGCCTCAGCCTCCCAAGTAGCTGGGACTACAGGCGCCCGCCACCATGCCTGGCTAATTTTTTTTTTTGTATTTTTAGTAGAGACAGAGTTTCACCGTGTTAGCCAGGATGGTCTCGATCTCCTGATCTCGTGATCCAGCCTCCTCGGCCTCCCAAAGTGCTGGGATTACAAGCGTGAGCTACCGTGCCCAGCC